TTCGTCGGAGTCGATTTCCGATCGGCGAACGTATGGCAAACAGAAATTAGTATAGCGTGATGGTGCAGGCTAGATCACATTCGTGTGAGAGCCGCAACAGGTGCGAGTATCAGCTATCGATAATAACGCCGAGATTATTGTCATTATTTCGATATCTCCGAGCGACCATTGCGGCAATCTAGTCGCGGCAAACGATCGGACCGCAGGTTTCCGCGTTGTGTAACCCTTTCTGCCCTGTCTTTAACCGTAACGATCTTTCTGTATAACGCGATACGAAAAATACGTGGATTAAGTTTCCCTCGTTGACGCAATGATCCACTCTGTGGATCTTCCTAATTTGTAACTACAGCAAATTCTCTCAAAATAATAGTGAAGCGAAATAGCAACAATTAAATACGAGATCATACAAAATCGTACAAAGATTTAAGATTTATAAATAAATTCGTAGGGCGCGCGCACGAAAAGCGTCGAACGTAGAAAATTCTCTTTAAAATCGCGCACATTTATTTGCAGCTTCGCGATGCTGAAATCGAGGGAAGCTCGGTTTCGAAGACACGATTCACGCGAGCTGTGCGCCACCGTACGTATAGGTGGCCTCCGACGCGACGGCCGCTGCTCCGCCCTCTCCCCAATTAAAGCACTAATTAAATACATTTGTCTGTGAAAAAGCACGGTGCCGCGTCGCGCCGGCTGCTCCCGATTTCTATCAGTCCCGTGTCGCGAAACATTTTCAGGAAGGGTGTGGAGAAGAGGAAAGGGGGGGAAGAGGCGAGAAAGGGAGAGAAATAGAGAGAGAGAAAAGGAGGGAGAGGGAGAGAAAAAGCGAGGAAAAGGGAGAAAGAAAAAAAGAGAGATAAAGAGGGAAAAGTGGGAAAGAGAGAGAAATAGAGGAAAGAGGGTGGAAAATCGAGAAAAAGCGAGGAAAATCGAGGAGAATCAAGAAAAAGCGAGGAAAATCAAGAAAAAAGCGAGGAAAATTCAGGAAAATCAAGAAAAAAGCGAGGAAAATTCAGGAGAATCAAGAAAAAGCGAGGAAAATCAAGAAAAAATGAAGAAAATCGAGGAAGATCAATAAAAAGCGAGGAAAATCGAGGAAAAGCGAGAAAAATCAAGAAAAAAGCGAGAAAAATCGAGGAGAATCAAGAAAAAGCGAGGAAAATCAAGAAAAAGCGAGGAAAATCAAGAAAAAGCGAGGAAAGTCGAGGTAAAGCGAGAACAATCAAGAAAAAAGCGAGGAAAAGCGAGAAAAGAAGAGAAATAGGGAAACATAGAGAGGAGGAGAGCGAATAGAGAGAAAGAGAACGGGAGAAAACGCGGGAAAGAGAGATAAATAGAGAGAAATAGAGGAAAAGGGTGAGAAATCGAGAATAAGCGAGAGAAATGGGGAAAAAGCGAGAGAAATCCGGGAAAAGTGAGAGAAATCGGGAAAAAAACGAGAGAAAGAGTGTGTCGCGGCGTTTCCAATAAAACAAACTCGCCGGTGGCGGTATTAATACCGCTATAATTAATCACGGAGGCTCGTGCACGGAGCGCGCGCGTTCTCGATATCAATTTTAATTACAGCCGGTCGAGAGTACTGAAAACCGTCGCGAGACGAACCGGAGAGAGAAAGAGAGAGAGCGAGAGAGCGCGAGAAAAAAAGCACACGAGAGATAGAGAAAGAGAGAGAGAGAGAGAGAGAGGGCTGCACAATTATTTAATCAGCGACACCTCGTTTATCGTCGATCGGCTATTAGCTGGGCGAGACCCGCCGGATCGGCCGGCCGTCTCCAAAGGTCACAGCAAGGGGAGAATTAATCCGGTGACCCCGGCCGTTCGTCGTTGCTCGCGCGTCCCGGCCGTTTCTGCATCGTGCAGCTCTTCCGGCGTGCTCGCGGCTCGCGGCGAGAGAAAAATGGAAAAGGTCGCGGTGCTGTCGCGACGCTCTCTCGGCGCGCGTCTCGTTCGCCGCGATTAAATTGTCACTTCGCGGTAATCCGTCCAAGAATCAGCAGCGGGGGTGTGCCATCGCGATCACCTGACCCGATAAAAGTCATTAAACGCAGACCGGCCGGCCAGCCACCGCGGCTCGAGAGATCGATACGCGCGCGGCAAACGGGCGAAGAAATTCCGCGACGATATTTCCCGGCTCTTAATTAGCTCGCCGACACGCGCGACGCTAAGGGCGAGACCAGGCTGCCGCTCTCTTTTAGCCAGCCTTCGGGCGTTATGCGAATTAATCGGTCGGAAAATATCGGCGAAACGTCGTCGTCGTCGTCGTCGGCCGGTCCGACGCCGATCCTCTTGTTCGAAACAATCGCGCGTTTCCAGCGCGACCTGCAATTCATTCTCTCGTTTACGTTGCTTTGCTAATCAGTCGGATCGTGTGTCATTTTGTCCGGCGATACACGCTGTTCGTAATGAATCGCGTTCATTTTCAGCCTGTAATTCGTTCTCCTCTATACGCGTCTTGTTTCGTATGCAGTCATTTTATGCGTCGTTTTGTCCGCTGATTTGCTCTCTGCGAAATAATCACGAGCTCGTTTCAACCTGTATAATAATTTTATTCGTTTGATTTTATCTCGCGAAATATTGTTTGCCATAATAATGTATTAGTTTGTGCGAATACACGATTCATTATCTTGTCTACATCGACGTATATTTTATTATTTCATCCGGTTGCGTGTTAATTGAAATAACTGAGTTAATTTATTTATATTATATATGATTACTTTTTCTCTAGATTATTTTGTTGTTAGTAATTCATTTGATATAGGTAATTATGTAATAGGTAGTTTGAAACATATTATTATAGGTAGGTATATTATGGTAGTTTGAAACATATTATTATAGGTAGGTATATTACGGTAGTTTGAAACATAGAAACGAATTTTTCTCTAGGTATTTTTTGTTTGGGACTTGTTTGCTGTAGTTTCATATAGTTTGATGTGTCATTTTATTTTGTTGCATGTTGTTTCAGATGATCGTCTTTCAGGTTGTTTGATTGGATGCAATTATTTATATCTAAATTATATATATATAAATATAATTATAGTATATACAACATATATTATTATATATATATATTAAATATAAATATAATTATAATATATATATAATATTTATAATATATATTATAATATATAATATATACATAAATACAATTATAGTATTATACATATAATATATATTACATACAATAAATATAAACATAATTTAAATATATATAAAAAAAGAGTAACATTCCCGAGCGTTCTTTGGAACATCGGCATTTCGGAGGCGATCTCTCGACAATCGGAGGATCGAACGAGCAATTCTCTCGAACGACCGAGCCATTTGCGGGGCGCGTTTGAAATCTATGAGCGAAAGGTCAACGGGAGTTCGGGAAACCGAGTCGATCGTGGAAGGAGAGAATCCCAGCAAACTGTGAGAACTTCCTAACAGTTCCATGGAGCCCGCCCGCCCGGCAACGGGTATGTCGGTCTAAAGAGAGGAGATTGCCGGGGGATGAAGAGTGTGGGACGGAGTGAAACGAGAGGGTTGCAGTGCAGCGTGTTGGAGGCGTCGGGACGACGCGACGCGACGCGACGCGCGACGGTCACGGACGACACGCCACGAAAACGTACGACCGTGTTCGCCAGCCGGCTGAAAGCGTCAGCTTTAAAATTAGTTTTGAGGGACGCGGACCAGAAAGGAGGAGGAGGAGGAGCTCGAATATTTTCGTAATTCAGCCGCGCGAAATTTACGCGGGGGTTAAAGGTCGCCTTTCCGTGGGAACAATTCGGTGGTCCGGGGGCCCTCGAATTACATTTGCCTTTCGGACTTTCGGAATTTCGCGGAATTTCGGGGACACACGTGTGTTTCGTAATGCACAGCGACGTCGACATCGACGTCGACGACGACGTTGCTCGTTAACGAATAAGTCGACCGTGTCCGGGAAAAGTAATTGTCCGACGGGTCCGACACCGTTGGAACGAGGACTTTAAGCGCGCGTAAAACATTCGCGCGAGCAGGAACACCGTAATAAACGATGAATTAGGGCAGGACATTATCGGAGACTCGTGAAAATTGCACTGGTAGGTGTACGTATAGGGTAGTTTCATTCTTGGTACGTTCAACCCTTTGCACTTGGAACCGTTTTAACTCGAGATTTACTGTTTCGCGTGATTTATCGAGAGTTGTGCGTGTGCGAAATTGACGCTTTTGACAGGTATTTGCAGTTTTAACGGTTGTTTTTTTAAGCGTATATGGAGTTCGATATTTTTGGATATATGCAGTTAAATATTTTTCGATATGTGCGATTAAATAGTTTTGGATATATGCGATTAAATAGTTTTGAGTTTATACGATAAAATAATATTGAATATATACAATTAAATATTCTTGGATATATATAATTCAATACTTTTGAATATATTCGAATATAATTTCGAATGTATTCAATTAAATATTCTTGGATATATATAATTCAATAATTTTGAATATATTCGAATATAATTTCGAATATATTCAATTAAATATTCTTGGATATATATAATTCAATATTTTTGAATATTTTCGAATATAATTTCGAATATATTCAAATCAATATTTTTGAATATATTCGAATATAATTTCGAATATATTCAATTCAATACTTTTCGATAGACATAATTCAATATTCTTCAGCATATAGAATGAAATATTTTCGAACAAATAGAGTGAAATATGTTCAAATTTATTCAACCGAATATTTCTAATACTCATTAAATTAATGAAACTAAATCAACGAAATTAAATATTCATTTCATCCCTAAAACCCGCGCCCCGAATTCCCACAATTCCGACCGCTTTCCCCAGCAAAAGATCACATTCCCCATGAACCAAGCTCCCGCCCTCCTCGCCCCGAGTCCTCGTTTCCCCGCAACCCGCCCCCCCATTCCTCTCAGACACCACCATAAACCCCCTAACCAATCGTGCCGTACAAATTGTTCGACCAAAGCACCAACGAAACAGACGAAAAACATAGTCGATTCACTTACGTATCTGCGGTATGTCGTACTGTATGCTTCCCCTGGTTGACCTGAGCAGAAGTTGGGGCGCGATGCTGATGCCGTTCCCATGAGGCGCCGGCGGTTGAGCTTGGTGGTTGGCGGGCTCAGCAGGAATGTCGATGCCGGCGCGTCGTCCAACATCGGCCAGCTGGCTCCTCTTCCCAGGCAGCTTGTTGCCATCGATGGCGAACGGCCTGCCGGCGAAACCGTTGCTCCCCTGATACTCCCTGATCTTCTCCGCCCTGTTCACCGGGTCAGTCTTCAAGTTCGCGACGGCGGCGGCCGCGGCGGCGTTCCGTTTCTGTTCGAACAGCTCGTCGTAGTTCGATTGTCTGGTCTCGTGCAGGCTCTTCCGGCCGAGCTCGTCGTCGCAGACCCTGATCGGCAGGCTGACGGTGTTCCTCGAGTGTCGGCAGTCGATCCGCAGCTTCTTGCCGCGTTGCTGACCGCCGAGATGGCTCGGCTGCTCCTCCGGAAGCTGGTCCGGCTGGTGCTGGCTGCCGGTGGCCGAGTCCGAATACAGAACGTTCAACATGGCCGGCGACAGGGCGAAGAAGACCGTCTGCAGCTCCCTGGGCTCCTTGATCATGTCGTCGATCAGTATCCCGGCCGGCGTCCACGAGGAGATCCTCGGCTCCTCGTTCACCAGCAGCCAGTTCGAGAGCTCGTCGCGGTGCGACGCCTCCGACGGGTATATCCTCAGGTGCAACAGGTTATTGCCGACCGCGTTCAGCTCGTTCTTCTTCCGGATGCTGCTCCCGTGCCGGTAGTCGTGCTCCTGCGCGCCCTGCATCACGATCATCGGCCGGTTCCCGACCGCCAGGTCCAGGCCCTGTCCCACGTACGTGAGCAGCCAGAACACGCACACTGCCATCATATGGGAAACGTTCACCGTTCACCGCCGCGACAAGGCCAGGCGACGACGTGACACGAAAAATATGAACGGCGCGCACCCCGGGGGTTCGTCGATCGATCGGCCTCTCTTCCTTCGGACAGCCTTCGGTGTCAGCCTCTTCGGTGTCAGCCTTCGGACGGCCTTCGGACAGCCTCGTGGACGCGCGTCTGGGCGCGAAAGGCACAACTCTAGGCCGACTTTTCGTTAGCCGAGCAGAGAGGCTGGTTTGCGGCGGCGAGAGGGACGCGGGCGGGGAAAAACCGCGGACGAACACAGAGCGAGGATCGGCGATCGATCGATTCCGATGACCGACGCCGACGCTGAAGAAGCCGCCTCCTAGGCTTCTTCCTGGCCCCGTCTGCGAAGCGTATCCCGGAGGCGTGATCCTCGAGGACTGCTGGCCGCCTCTCTCTCTCGCGTTCGCATCTAACGCGGAACCTCGTGTTAAGCTTGGACAGACTCGTCCGGGCTGAGTTCGCGCGGGCTACCGACGCGAGGATCAGCCTCGCATTTTGCGGGCAGCTGGCTTTCTTTTACTTTCTATCAATCTCTATTACTCTCTCTATTTCTCTCTATATGTCTCTCTATTTGTTTATTTGTCTCTCTATTTCTCTCTCTCTCTCTGTCTCTCTCTCTCTCTCTGTCTCTGTCTCTCTCTCTCTCTCTCTCTTTCTGTCTCTCTCTCTCTGTCTGTTTCTCTCTCTCTCTCTCTTTCTGTCTCTCTATCTCTCGACGGTGTCGGAAGGGTGCCGGCGTGTCCTGAAATCAGGCGGTTAGTTCAGGAGGAAGCGCGGCCGGCGTGCGGCGACCGAGGACCAATCGCTCTCGACGCTGATCTATCGAGGAGGATCTATCGAGGAGGATCCGTCGAGGTACGCGCGGCTCGGTGTGCGCGCTCGGAGTGCCGCGGAGGCGTCGACGGAAGGCCGCCGCGTCGCGGGGCACGGTTTTAAGGCGCTCTCGAGAGACCGCGCGGCCCGACACACAAACGAGACTGGATCGATCGGCCGCGGTTACGCGCTCCTGATCGGACCCCGTCTTCCTCCTCGGCCTCCTGGTCGCTCGGTCGCAGCTTCCGGTACCACGCATCGCGATCGCCGATCGGCTTTTTTCGAGCTCCAAGGAGAAACGAGCGGACTCGGCCGCTTCGCGATCGCTTCTTGTCCTCCGCGCGCGGCCTCGCGGCCTCCTCGAGGATCGAGGGACCCTCTTTCTCCGATCGCCGATCGTGGGAATCCGGCGCGGTTGCGGCACAAAAGCTGCGTAAGGTGCTCTCCGTGCTGCGATGCGGTGCGGGGAGGTGCGGTGCGGTGCGGTGCGGTGCGATGCGGTGCGGTGCGATCACGGTGTGCAAAACGGCGACATCGAACACGCCGCGGCCGACTGAATCTCGGGTGCGGAAAAGTCGGTGTGCAGGACGAGAGATCAACAGGTGCCCGAAAAATGTGCAAAACCGTGCGCCCGCGGATCAGAGGAGCGGATTAATTAGGCTCCGAGCCGTCCGGCGAGCTGCTGGCCTAAGAGTCCTCTCTCGCCGGGTCGTGGCACGTCAGGCCGGAGAACACAGCGGGCACATCGAGGGTACGGAGAGATTCAGAGGGGAGAGAGAGAGAGAGAGAGAGACAGGGAGAGACAGATAGAGAGTGACAGAGACTGAGAGATTGACAGAGACAGAGACAGAGAAAGATTGACAGAGAAAAAGAGGGAGAGATTGACAGACAGAGAAAGGGAGAAATTGGCAGAGAAAGAGAGAGAGAAATTGACAGTGAGAGATAGAGAAAGATTAACAGAGAGAAAGAGAGAGAGTTTGACAGAGAAAGAGAAATTGACAGAGAAAAAAAGAAATTGGCAGAGAGAGAAAGAGAGAAATTGACAGAGAAAGAAAGAGGGAAATTGACAGAGAAAGAAAGAGGGAAATTGACAGAAAAAGAAAGAGTGAAATTGACAGAAAAAGAAAGAGAGAAATTGACAGAAAAAGAAAGACAGAAATTGATAGAAAAAGAAAGAAATTGACAAAGAGAGACAGAAATTTACAGAAACAGAAAGAGAGAAATTGACGGAGAGATTGGCAGAAAAAGAGAGAAAGAGAGGCAGAGAGATTGACAGAGAGAGACAGAGAAAGATTAACAGAGAGAAAGAGAGAAAAGGAGAAAGATTGACAGAGAAAGGGAGAAATTGACAGAAAAAGAGAGAAATTGACAGAAAAAATGAGTAGTTGACAGAGAGAAAAAGAGAGAAATTGACAGAAAAAGAGAGTAATTGACAGAGAGAAAAAGAGGGAAATTGACAGAGGGAGAAAGAGAGAAATTGATAGAAAAAGAGAGTAATTGACAGAGAGAAAAAGAGGGAAATTGACAGAGGGAGAAAGAGAGAAATTGATAGAGGGAGAAAGGGAGAAATTGGCAGAGAGGGAGAGACAGAGAGATTGTCAGAGAGATTGACAGAGATTGACAGAGAGAGACAGATAAAGATTAACAGAGAAAGTGAGGAATTGACAGAGAGAAAGACAGAGAGCTTGACAGAGAGGAAGAGAGAAATTAACAGAGAGAGAGAGAGAGAGAGAGAGAGAGAGAGAGATCAACAGGGAAAGAGCAACAAAAAGAAATATATATACATATATATAGAGATAAAGAATTTGATTGCGAGTAGACAGAGAGAGAGAGAGAGAGAGAGAGAGAGAGAGAATGTGCACGCACGCAAACGGAAAGAAAGTTATTGTGCAGAGCCGCGGCGACTATGTGGGTGGTGTGTGCAGTATGGTGCGGAGGAATACTTGCTTCTGAGTCCGGGTGCTGGGAGAGACACTGCTCTGAGGGTAGCGTGGCCTCAGATCCACTCTCGGGCCCACCTTGAGGGACACCTTTGTCCTCATGCACTGGCAACCTTCGATCAAACCGCCAGTCCTCGGTCGCACATGCCACACAGAGCGTCGTTGGTCAATGAAACTCCGCGGCGGTGTTCCCGTGGTGGCTTCTTCTCTCGCGGTTCACTGTCTACTCTCTGTCTCTCTTCCTCTCTGTCTCTCTCTCTCTCTCTCTTTCTCGAGTTGTTCTGTTCTCTCTCTCTCTCTCTTTCTCTCTCTCTGGATCACACGAACACAAAATGGTACGAACAATCGGTTAGCATGTTGCCGGCCGCTGTCTCGGATCGTCCGACGGTGAAACTGTGACGACGACGACGACGACGACGACGAAACTGTGACGACGAGGATCGCCGTCTGTTTTAGGCAGCCGCGAAGATTATTCCGTTGAGCCGCGTCTCGCAGCGTGTCTTGCGTGTCCCCCGTTGACGGCCGAGAGCATACTTCGGGCACGGAGCGTGTCTCGCGCGGCGTTTCGTCGGAACGCGACGCGATGCGATGCGACGCGATGCGATGCCTTGTGCGATGCGATGCGTTCGAAGCCGACCGGGGTTGGCTCGCCGACGGTGCCCGATGGCTGGCTGGCTGGCTGGCTTGCTTGCTCGCTCCGACGGTTCTGACGGCTCTGGTGGCGGCCGGTTGCTCGTCCTGGACAGGTGGAACCACGAAATAACGCAGCGGCGACCGACGTCCGTGCAAAAGGAGGTTGCGGCCGTGGATGTTGCTTTGCTGGCCGAAGGTCGAGGGATGGAGGATCGAAGGGTTGGGACAGTGGGTTAGTTTAGCGAGTGAGCTGGCTGGCGCCCTCACCAGAACTAACTCCCACGCTGCGCGACAACAGTCACCGGGTTTAATACACCGCGCATCCCCTCACTAGACCGTCGGCTCACCCTTCCCGCCCGCCTTCCCTGCCGTCTAACGCCCGCCGCTTCCACCCCCGCCGAGCCGGCCGCGGCTCGTGCTAACCTGGCCCCGGCCACCCCCTGCATCGCACATTTCCGTTCCGCATCGAATCGCACACGCACGCATCGGCAACCTTGTACCTTTCGCGGTGCGTTTCGAACGCGACGATGCTCTTTCTGTCTTCCTCGCCCTTTCGCTCTTTCGCACCCTTCCTCCCTTTATCCCTCGCGCTCGCTTTGTGTCTCTCGATTTTTCTCTCGATTTTTCTCTCGATTTTTCTCTCGCGCTTCTCTCGCTCTTCTTCTCTCTTTCGTCGCTCTCGTCGGCTCTTCCGTCTTCTTCGACTTCGTCTCGCTTCCCTGCCGGAACGCCGGTCTTCTTTTCTGCGGTCTCGTCTTCTCGTCTTCTCGTCTTCGCGTCTTCGGCCGCGCTTCGTCGCGCCTCTCTTTCTCGCGGAGCATCTCCGCGCCCGTTTTCTTCTCTCCCTGTAGCTTCACCCTCGAAGCTGCCATCGCGCTGGTCGATCGACAGCTTTTACGATGTACAGTGTCTGAAGAAAGTTCACGTGGGACGCGAGGGAACGCGAGGGAACGCGACCGTACGCGCCGCAACTAACGAGGAGAATTATGCGCCGCGACGCGACGATCGAGACCGGCCAAGCTCGCGCTTTTCTGCGATCGAGGGCGGTGGTGGTCGTGGGGGATTTTGTCTCTCGAGAGTTTGAATGATTTTCGAGCGGAGGCTCGTCGAGAGTTTGAATCGTTTCGAGCGTCACGACGGAGTGTCGATTAGTCGGAAGCGATCGAGAGGAGACTCGGAGGATCCAATGAGAGCTTCTCTCTGCAACGCGGAAGCTTTCGTAAAGTAAAAGAGCTTTTTAGGAGGGTTGAGAGCAGCTGTTTTATATTGGTTTATGAAACTAACGATGATACGATTATTTTTCATATTAACACGTATATTGAACAAATAATATTGAACGGATAATATTGAATATATATAAATAATAGTGAGTAGATAATATTGAGCAAATAATATTGAGCAGATAATATATTATATAAATAATATTAAAGAAATAAAATATTGAATAAATAATATTGAATATAAGTAATATTAAATAGATAATATTGAATAGATATTATTGAATAAATAGTATGGAATAAATAATATTTTGAATAGATAATATTGAATAGATAGTATGGAATAAATAATATTTTGAATAGATAATATTGAACGAATATAATATTGAATGGATGATATTGAATAACTAATATTGAATAAGTAATATTGAATAGATAATATTGAACATAAATAATATTGAATAGATAATACAGAATAAATAATATTGTATAGATAATATCGAATAAATAATATAGAATAAATAATATTGAACAAACAACATAGAACGAATAATATTGAACAAATAATATTGAATAAGCAATATTGAGCGAATAACTCCTAAATGAGTCATCGCAATCTGGATAATGGTGAACGGAAAAATTAGCGTTAATTGCTCGGTACTTTTACACTGCTGGAATTCGTTGACGAAGCGTACGATAGGGAGCCATTAGGTATAAAGAGAGTGTGTGGGCATTTTATCGGCAGATATCGGAACACTATCGTCACCATTAGTCCGCGGAGGAATTGCAGTGAATAGCAAAAAACGCTTTAGCGATCCTTCGGATTGTCTCTCGAGGAGTCGGCTATATATCTTCCACCCCCACAATAACACCCACGTCCCTAGTTTCACGGAAAAATACTAGTTCAAGTGTCCACCGGACAACGGTATTCCGAACCGTTTCGTTCTTTTCCTTTGTTCGTCCGCGACCGCTTTACAAACACACAACAATTAGACTGTAAAGAGAACCCCGAGGTTTTTCTATTTCCGCCGATGCACTCACGGTGCAACGGGACGGACCCGCGTATGCACCGAGAGCTTTCGATCCTTTTAACAAACTTTCAAAGACAGAAACCTAATTCGTATTTCTAGCGGCGATGTAATGTCCGAGCTGCTCTAATTTCGCGAAAGAGAATGGAAGAACGGTGAAACTGGACTCGTTTCGAACCATCGAAGCCTCTACTTTTTCTCTACTTTTGCAACGCTTTGTGCAATTTTCCCGGAGATTTTTTACCTGCACCGCGTACAAAAGCTGACAAACGGAGCACTGGTTTCGCTAAAAAGTGCGAAACGATTCGGGAAACTTTGAACGATTTTTCTCGCCGCTGATTTTATCGAAATAACAATGAAAACTTAGCATCGCTATAGCTAAAAAGTAAATAATTTAGCACAACCGGGCGTAGAAAAATAATTGTTCGTTATATTAGAATATCCAAATGCGAAAAAAGAATCGAATCGAATCGAATCGAAGCACTCGGCCGTGCCCGATCGAACTTATCGGTTAATCCGCAGCAGATTCCCGCGCGGCGAACGATTACGATTAATCACGAATTTATCGGCGACAGTTGAAAATTCAGCTCGACCGTGGATAATTTATTCCGCGAGACGCGTGTAACCGTGCATATCGCGCGGAAATCACTTTCGCGCGAATCATTGCCGTGCAACACGCGTGTCAGTTTATTTTAATCCGCGCGATGGCCGGATTAATTATCCTCGCCCGGCGAATGTAACGAGCCGAGTCACGGCGCGCGCGCGCGCGTGTGTGTGTTTTTTCTTTCTTTTCGTTTTTTTGTTTGTTTTTTTTTGTTAATTGAGAAGGGACCCGGTCCCATGACGTGGCGGCGGCGAATAAAGATCGGGGAAAGTTCGCGTGAAAACGTCGACGTTATAAAATGTTTCAGGCGAACTAATTGCGACGTGAACGGCTAATAAAATGTCCGGGAAAGTAATTAGTAAGCCCGCGAAAATGTAAGGGTCAGACTACAGGAAATCTTTCTATAAAGGTGAACGTGCACGACCTTACGCCGGTTATCGTATTTTGTTTCTTCTTATTAGTGTGACCGCAATTTCTTTTTTTAACGCACAGCATTTTTACTGCAGCCTTGAATTAGGATAGATCGCTTCCAAGAATTAATTAGAACAGGTTTCTGTAATAATGGTCTAGTATGGATCTTTTTTAAAGAATTCGTTAGAATAGATATTTTCAAGAGAGAATCTGTTAGAATAGATTTTCTTGAAGAATTAGTTAGAACAGACTTTTTTTAACACGTTGAATGCCACGCCGGTTTTACAGAAATTGTCCGTGGCGCCACGATGAATTTTCTTTTATGCGATACATATAAACGTTGAAATATTATCTGCAATAGATAAGTTACAGTGTATAACCATGTTTGACGTGTTAATTGCGACAGGGGTCACTGTTTGAATCGACGATGGTAATAATACAAAATTTTAGATATTGACATTTCTTTTAAATTATATATATTTCTATCAATTTAGGCGCGCCGGTCACCGGTGACCCCCATGGCGTCCCCGCCAAGTTAAGTGCCGGTCACCGGTGACCCCCGTGGCATTCAACGTGTTAAGAATTAATTAGAATAGATTTTTAATTAGATTAGATCAACTTACGGAAATAGATACCGCTTTTCTTCTTCAAATCTCGTTTCCTTGGCAACGCTTTCGCGCGAACGTATTTCCAACGGAGCGGCGGTTCTCCTTAGATAAAAAAGTAAAAAGCAAAGAAAAAAGGAACGTCCGAGTTTCTTAAACAATTCGGAAAATGTTAATCCGCGGAGAGCTCCGAAGCTTTCGTGGATCCGTTGGATCGTCGATAAGGAACCGAGGCTGCACTTACGATCGTTCGTCGTAAAAAGCGGCTTAAAAGGGTTGCCGCAGCGTTGAAAGCGTCATCGTCGCAGCCCCCGGACACTTTCTACACTGCGCGCTCCGGGCGAAGACAATTTTTCAGATTAAAGAAGCGCAGTCTCGAGGCCCTTGTTCGCGTCATTACAGCCCGGTGGGCGTTTTATGGGAATCGTAATGCCGTTACACGCCGGTCGCACGCTTATCAAGGATGTCGGGAGCAGGTTCGAGAGAGTAGGAGGGCTGTAAACGTCACCGAGCTCACCCCTCGGCGTCCCTGTGCTCACCTGTGCCACTTGTTCTCCGCGGCTTCTCCTCTCTTTTTTTTCCAAATTATTATTAAATTGTTATCGATTCCCCGGACCGACGACGACGAATTATTTAGGTGGCGTTCGCGGCATCGAAATCACTCTCGATCTCTCTCAAATCGTGTTCGACGATTTCCAGGATTTTTTTGACACAATCTGCGGTAAATTGCACAATCGTTTGTTCGACGAAGCCCGAGTGTGGGTATTACTGCTGTTAAAAATGAATCTCATACTTTTTTTTATATGTTTAATGAAAACGTTGTGAACGCTGATTCGAAAGGCATATTTATTTTATGTTATTTAATAAACTGTTCGTTTCAGCGATTTTGTTCCATAAAGTGATCAGTGCTTTCATAAAAAATCGACTTACAGTCTCACTCTCATTTTTTCGGAAAATGAATTCCACTAGTCTCAGTAACTGGTCCAAAATTCTGCTGTCCTTCTAGTGGGATTGATTTCCGGACATATTCCAAAAATCCGGAAAATGAATTCTACTAGTCTCAGTAATTGGTCCAAAATTTTGCTGTTGACCCAGAGGGACCAGTTACTGAGACTAGTAGAATTCATTTCCCGGATTTTTGGGAGTTTCAAGGGATCTCATAAGGCATGTTCACCGAAAACTAAAACTTAAAAAAAAACTTGATTTTAGTCTTAGATCAACATGCCTTATGACATCCCTTCAAACTCCCAAAAATCCTGGAAATGAATTCTACTAGTCTCAGTAACTGGTCCCCTTAGATTGACAGCAAAATTTTGGACCAGTTACTGAGACTAGTAGAATTCATTTCCCGGATTTTTGGGATCTGTCCGGAAATCAATCCTACTAGTCTCAGTAACTGGTCCCAAATTTTGCTATCGGCCTA